GTGATGGAAAATTTTCACCCGATTTGAAATTTACATTAAAATCGATTAATTATTATTTACCACTAACGTCATTTATAATGTGTCAAGAAGATTAAAATTAGCGCAGCAAATATGTTCAAAATATTTTCATTGCTTTAGCTTTTGAAGAGAAAATACGAGAAAATTCATTTTGATGTAATCTTAATTGATATTGAATGCAATTGTATATCTAAGAGATGCTACTGGGAGGGCCAAGTTTATTTAGGTACAGCTACGTATTTCTAAACCAAAATAGTGGAAATATGGAAACAATCCAGTTATAAATGAAAATAAAATTGTAACTATGTGTTACGAAATGGTTTTAATGTCTTATTTAGATAAAATACACAGTAAAAAAGGCTTATTTATGTAGGTACGTATAGTATACAATACGTATGTAGAATAAACAAAATAGAAAAGAAATCTAAGGGTTGTTTGGGGCACTTCTTCTGAAATATGTGAAATAACGATATAAAAAAGAATAATAAGATAGATTTCACCAAAAAAAAGTTTTATAAATCACTTTCTGGATACTGATGACAACATTGAAATTATGTACTGCAATATTTCAAAACACAAAAACCTTGGCTGTTACATTTTTTTATTCATTTTTAATAAACAAATGAAATCTAAGCTTTGTTTGTTGCACATATATTTCGAAATATGTGAAATAATGAGATAAAAAGGAACAATAAGATAGAAGATATCGCTAGAAAAGATTTTTATAAATTCTCAACGAATTCCTTTCGGTGGATAGCAATCAAATTTTGAGAGAAATACATTGATTATTGAGGTTTACAGAAAGTCAAACAACGTCAATAAAAAGTGTATTCGTCGAACATTGCATTTATTCAATAATCACTTTCTGAATGCTCACAATATTAAAATTTTATACTGTAACATCACAAAATACAAAAGACCTAGTCTGTCAGAAAATCTGGAAAGCAAAAATTATTTCATTTAAACGTATTTTTAATCAATAATCAATTAGAAATAAACTGGTATTTCATGTAGAACTGTTCTTTTCTTTTATACACTTTAGTAATCATGATGTACTTATTTCTTTCGATTCTTAATAAAACGTGCTATTCTTTTTTACTTTATTAAACTTCATATAAAAACGGTAACAAAACGGCAAATTAATATATGCTATAATTTGAATTTTTAGACAAAGGATATATTTAATAAAATATATGATTAAGAAGTATCTCCATTCCTACAAGAAAAATAAAATTATTGTATAAATTAGGTACTAGGAATAGGCGAACTCTCGAACAAAGTGGATCAACGTGTGTTATGATAATCTCGAACCAATTAAAATAATTTTAAATTAGTGTAATTTAGACAGTCTTGTACAATATGAATCCGCATAGCACATAGGTATAAATAGAATAACCTTTTTTACTTTAATCTTAAGCCTCGTAATTTTTTAACTCTTGAACATATTTGTACAGTATCATACATAATAAAGATGTTCCAGAAAAAGTATATTATTCCAGCAGTAGATGCGTACATATTAATTTCAGGACACTCGATTAGACATACATCCTAATTATCGAATATTTTAAATGGATCTTATTAACTATTATTGGGTATTAAAAAACTTTCTTAACTCGAACCTCCTAAATGCCAATTATTTTAGAGTTAAGAAAAATTTCTGCATTGCCGTCACACTTTTTACAATTTGTTTCAAAAATATCACTTCTACGTTAACTAAATTGTAAGAAACCATACAATCTTAGGAAATAAGCACTTCGTTTGTGTTGTCTTTTTCTACTGTAAACTACTGATACTAAACTAACCGCTTTGTTTTTATTGTTCTCAGTAATTGAGCGGCACAGTAAATACTTATGCTGTTAATAAAAATTCCAGCCATTGACTATTGCTGCGGCCGATTTTTCCGAAGAAAATTAATAGAAATCGAAATAAAAAGACAATTTATAATGTGAAACTCGTACTCGAATTACGAATTAGACAACAATTCGAGTTAGAGAAATGGGGAACTTCAAATTAAATGGTTTGAAAAAAATGTAAAACGAAATGAATGACGTATGTAAAGGGATCAAAAAATGATCGAGTTAGAAAACATTTCGAGTTACAGAAGTTCGACTGTAATTACCAAATACTTAACAGGTTACTGTTGATCATTCCAGTTGTTTGTCGGTCAAGGTATTCTTTTCAGTAAAAAATCGTATAATTGTGCTTAGGTTGCTTCAATGCGAGACTTCAATTTTCAAGATTACTCAAGCGATGTTACTTTATTCTATTAACTACCGAAGCATCTTGTGAACATTGTTTAATGCAGTTTTGCATATATTACGATAAAACTTTCAAATAATTCGTGATGATTGTAAAAATACAATTTTTTATAACTTAACAGTGATGTGATAACTAGCGTAAAAAAGGTCCGCTTTTATTTGTTTAGAATTTCGCACCTTATTTGACATTTAAATTTCATTAGAATAATAATTTTTAAAAATTTTATTAATAATTTCTTATTGGATGATTATTTATATTATTTTGCAACGCGTCAAGTTATTTTGCATCTGACGCATCGGTCGAGGTCGGAAGAGCCCTGATGTTGTCCCGTGTGAGCGAGGACGAAACTGCTTACGTTTACAGCATTCTTTTGGCGCGGTGCAAATTAAGAATGTTCAGTTTTACTATAAATTCCATTTAATTGTTTTTCTTTAAAATGTTAAGCATTGATTATTTCTAAATATTCAAACAGTTAACCGATTTTTGTTACCTGTACATACTCAATTGAAAATGATTAATAAACACACTAATACATCTGTGGCTGAAATTTAATCAGTTATCTCACATTACTATGCTTAATCGGAAGTAACAAAAACGTATTGCATCGGCCGATAATAATCGAATCTGGCTGGCAGGTGAACGATGATTTTACTCTAAACATGCCTCTACTTTTAGTCATGTGAACAGTGACGATGAACTTTTTCGATGTTTTTGAATTTTCTGCATAAATAGCACAAGGGGCGACTGGCGTAGAACAGACAAAAAGTTTGATTTCCGACGGTGATCTGTTCTGTGGTGAGTACAACACCAAAGGAATTCTCTGAACTGGTCCGCATGAAAGAGTTCTGTGCTCTATTTCCAACCCTTCCAACGCGCACCGCTTCTATCAAGACTATTTGATAACATAAAGCAGCGAATTTAGAACGGTGAGTGAGCTGCATTAGATGCAGATCACATAAGCAGGACGCGCGTTAACGGAATGTGAGTAACGTCTGTGACATGCGAGAGTGTGACTGGAAGGATTATAGACAAGTTTGGTTAGATGAAGATGAAAGATCGTAGGATTATTAACATTCAGAAAATAAGTGAGTAAACATTTGCAGAACATCCCCTTTGTCTAGCACGGCCGAAAATGCATAATTTCGTGAAAGTGTGTAACTTTCAAAAGATGATCCCGCCCATTGATGATAGCATATAATGGAATATAAGATATCCCTATGTTCTGTTCTCAATTCGCCATTAGTATATGAATATATGTTACCGAAAATGTATGAAATCTAAGAATTGTATACAATTCCTAAGAAATGTATACAATTCCGAGGCTATTTAAGAAATCTATAAAATATTGCTTCANTATGTTCTGTTCTCAATTCGCCATTAGTATATGAATATATGTTACCGAAAATGTATGAAATCTAAGAATTATATACAATTCCTAAGAAATGTATACAATTCCGAGGCTATTTAAGAAATCTATAAAATATTGCTTCAAAGATTCTTTAATACACACATATCCTGGGAAATGTTTACATTTCCTAGGAATTGCATAAAATTCCGATATTGTACTAGGAAATGTATAAAACTAATGCTTTCTGTGAATAAAATGAATAAAACACGTTAGTAAACTGAGACTGAGTTATCTGTGTTTACGCGGTTCTAGTGCGATCTCCTGATGTGCATGTATTGGTGACGTTATTGTTTGGTTAGGTTAGGTTTGGCGAAATATATGCATTAGTAAAAAAATCAAGGTCGTCGTGTTTGCTGGAAAAAAGATAACCTCATCACATTATTCTAACATCTATCATCACCTCCGGCGGTCAGGAACATTAGAGAAACTCCAGCCTGTCATAAATCTCTCTAACCAATCAATGATGTCACCAATGGATATAGATACATCTCTAAACATCCTGCCGTATTATAGCCTATTTAGTATTACCCCTAATACATTTCCGATTGCTATTTGGGAAATGTAATGATTTTCTGGAAAATGTTCGCCGAATATACAAATTACACATTTCTTTATCGGCATTTTTTTCTTTTTATGAGGGCATGATAGGAAGATCAGTTCATTATAAGGTCATCAATCTTAAGACTGGTTGGACACGTACCTCCACTCTTTCCTATCCTGAGCTAATCTTCGCATTTCCCTGAAACTAGAACATTCCACATCCTTAACTCTTTGTGAACAGTAATCAATCTAGGTCTACGTCTACTCCTCTTAACTCCTGTTTCTGTCTCTAATATGTCTCTGACTAAATATTCATGGCTGAGAAGGTGTCTTACCAACCTATCTCGTCTAATTCTTATTGAAAGATCAGGTACTTCTTTGAAAATTGTCGTAAACTAACCGAAGTCTCAAAATCTTTTGAACAAAGTGTATACTCCTCAATAGCTTTCAATCGAATTTATTACACTTTTAATTACGAACGCATTAGCCGTGTGACCGATCATACCGCAGTCTTTTTTCTTTTTGATATACGTGGTACTGGTACATGTACCACTTGTCTACGCAAATATAACTTCTTAAGTGCTATTAAGTACTTATGCAGACTGGTTAATCATTCCTTCCAAAGATTAGGGATTTACCCGTTTGAATATTGCGAATTTTAATAACTTTTTAGCGGTACTGTACGCGTGTATCACAGAGGCCGTTATCCGTCTCCATGGATATGAAGGAGCAGAATCCGTATATAATAAGACTTGGCGTCGCGACGCCGGTTCATTGAGTGGACGCGTCTTGCACGAATACGAACTCGGTTCCTTAGTGCTTGAGAATAGACATTTGATCCAAGAGTTATTTTTGTTTAATTAGATTCCTTAAAGTCCAGTGTTGAAAGTTTGAAAAAGCGCAATTAACTACGTACATTCTTTCATCAAAAATTGGAGCATAACACATTTCAAGTGGTCGTTTCTCTCTGTTTCAACGTTTAAATTAATGGTAAGTTATTTATTTAGTTATAATTTTTTTTTGATATTGTCGTTTTCATGTAATTTCAAAGTGTCTTTGTCAATCTGCAAAAGAAATTTGAATCTTTTTTCAATGGGATTTATCTTGAAGTCTTTCATTTTCTATATCATCAAGAGTTCAATAACCTACATAATAATTAATTAAAAAACAAATTAAAGTGAACACATAGCCTTCATCAGAGGTAAAAGGTAAAGAAATATATACGATCTTACTTTTAGTATTTAAACCTACCATCGTCATCATCACTATCGTTAAATAAATCCTAAAGTATTTTATATTGTACTTTAACAATTCATATATAAGAAAATAACACTTTTGTGATGGAAGCTACACGTGATATTTCCGCTTCTTATGGCATAATGTAAAATGCAAATTTGTCCTTTAACTTACAATTTCTAAAAGTAAAATAAAACACTTATATTCGAGCCTAATATTTATGTGCGTTTGTACAGATATTATTTTTCAATATTAAAAAATAATGACCAAATAAACTAATTCCTTCATTTATTTTTTCTTATGTTGTCGATTATAAACACGTATTATAAAGTTATTATTAGTCAGATAGTTTCAGGCAATGTTATTGATAATTGTAATAAATAAATTGTTTTACATTGTAAGCATAAAGTGAATTTGTTTATATTTATTTTCCTTCGGTGTTTAATATAAATAAAACAATTTTTAATTAGTTGTCATTATTTTAAATGCAAAATAATTATTTATTTTACTTAGAAATTTCAATTGAATTCTATTAAATTCAAAAATAAGGTTTATTAAAAATAGTGATACTTATATATACACATATTTTCGATAATTTATATTTTATGAAAGTAAAAAGAATTAGCTATGTAGGTATTTAATGAAAAGTTAAATGCAACAAGTTTTCTTTTAATTGCAACTAAAATGTTCTGATTTGTTTTAGCCTTAAATGATTATTCGATATGAGTAAACTTTCGTACTTAAAAAAAACATTTTCACCTCGAGCTCCCCTTTTCAGATACTTTCACTTTTTTAAAAATTTTTTTCCTGTGCCAAATACAAAGTTTTGTTTTTGATTTTGTTTGGGTTTGTGTTTCCTCTTGTTTGTTTAGGTTTTTTAACATGTAATAGTAATTCAGTACCTGCAATTAACACACATATTTTTTCCTTCCTGTACTTAATAGCACTGTGATGGTTCTGTCCAATTATACACCTCATTATTTTTCATGTACTTCTCATTTTTTCTATAAGAATTGGTAATCTTGACGTCTTTGACTACAAGACTTCCTATGACGAGTGTACAGAATGGATCGATTCATAAATCATCATTTTATTCATATATTCTTTGCAACAGGTATGGAAAAACACGTAAAATTAATGTAAGTCAATCTTTTAGTAAAAAAAAAAAAATTAATAATTCCTTAAATACGTAGTGGCACTAAAACCCAGCGCTCCGAGTTCGATCACATCTATTGATTAAAGGATTGTACGTTTTCAAGTAATGGTTTTGTTAATTTAGTAAACATAATTTAACTATACTTACTAGGTACCCATACCTTTCATTTTTCATTTTTCTCATTTCATTGCGATAAACCATTTAAATATAGAAATCACTAAATTTCTTGTTATTATTGTTTTAGAAGTTAAGTTCTACATTCGTCGTTGTAATTGAAACATTTTTGATTAAAAACGTAGAATGTTATAAATGATTAAAAGATGTAAGATCTGTTCTAATAATAATAATAATAGTGGAAAATGTACTAGGTATATTTCATTACTTTAGCTGTTTTTAATCGACTGCATCCAAAACGAAAAATTTTCAGATTTAAATGTTTTATATCAAAGAAAGTAAAAATAAAAATGGCTAATTATTTGTCATCTTTCCTGCTTCGTTATAAGGTTGATTAAGAGGGTTGAATTTTTGGGATATATATTTTCTATTTAATAGTTTTAGTATCTAGTTTAACAAGAAATTAGTAGCAGCCAATTTTCAACAAGAAATTAATAGACACTTAAGTACTGATACTTGTTACACATATAGATTTTTCATCATACATATAAATATAGATCTAATTGTATGTACTTATAATATGTTCACACTATATTTCGAAAGTTACGAAGAAAATTCATATGCAAATAACTACAATAAAAACAGATTTTTATATTATACGAGGGTGGATTGATAAGTTTCCGGCCTGACCAAGAAAAACAAGGTTTTTAAAAATTTTTTTTTTTTATTTCTCAACATAATCTCCTCCAAGGCTGATACATTTCTCATAGCGGTGTTCCAGTCTATTAATGCCATCTCTATAGACTGATTCGTCAAGCTCCTCAAAATAACCATTTACAGCTTCGATTACTTCTTCNATAACGTATATTAGAACTAAATATTTGTTTATGTACTAGTTCTTCCCCCCTATCAATCACTTGAAACAGTTAGCACCATTGCTTCAGGTGGTCGAAATTCATTTTTCTGAACAATTTGTTTAATCACTTTCTTTGTGTTAAAAATTGTTTGAAAAATTAAATTTAATGGATTTGTTTGAAAATAGGTATGCAACATATCGTACACTGCAGCATAAGATGTTGCTGATATTAACTACGTAATACTAGTTTACCCTGTGCTGTCAGCACTCATAATTTCTTTTATATACAATACTAGTTTAGGAGTCTATCGCGGACAAGCAACGTGGCACGTAATTTATATATATTAAGATTATACGTGTTATTAATTAAAACTGCCTTACACATTTAACAACCACGATATTTTGTTTTTAATTATCAAATATCAACTACCCGAATGAGTCCATTAAATAAATCATTTCCATGCACATTTTCATTTGTATGTAATTATTATTTCATAATTTCACCATTTTTTTATGATTGAAAGTTGATAAAATTACTAGCATAAATGTTCGTTTGACGTTTGTCTGCAGTAGAAGCTACAAAAGTTTAATCGAGTGATGTTTCATATCGTTAATTATCTGTATTAAAGGTCAGGAGTGAATGAACGTTTTTTTTTTGTCTAATCTTAATCACTGAGGCAGGCTTTAAATTTGATGAATCAAATGTTTCCTATTAAAGAGCGAATATAAAGATATGAGATGAAAAATTAGAACTGACCGATTTTAGTTATCTAGGAAGTCAGATAAGTCAGGACGGAAGGAGTAGTAGGGATATAAAACAGAGGATAGCGCAGGGTCGAGTCGGTTTCAATAAAAAGAAGTCACTTCTATGCTCGCAAACGGTTAATTTAGAAATTCGAAAAAGGTTGTTAAAGGTGTATGTTTGAAGCACGGCGCTGTACGGGTGCGAACCTTGGACAGTGGGCGCAGCGGAAAGAAACGTTCGAAATATTGTGTTACGGGCGAATGATGGATAGAGAAGATTAGAAATGAAGAGGTATTAGAAAGACTAGGAGACCACACGACTCTATGAAAGCCAATAATAAATAAGCGAAATAGGTTAGTAGGATACTTTTTGAGGCATGAACGGCTAGTCAGATACTTATTAGAGGCAGAAACGGAAGTTAAGAGTTATAATAAAGTGCACCTTATATATTAATTATTTCCTATAGGAAATGAGATTCTGGCAAATTTTTGCTTGAATTTACCTAACCTGACCTAACCTGGAAATTATCGGCGAATTAAAGGCGCAAGTATTCTAATTATTCCTCAATAAAAGAGAAATCCATACATTTTTCTAAGGTTTCATTTTGATGTCCGATGACAGCATGACAGCCTCGCCATTTTTGAAAAATTAAAGAAAAGATTGTTTTCAATTCGTAAAACTTGTTATCATCAAAAAGGGAACTGGTGCATTAATAGGTATAGGCGAAATAATAAATCTAAAATAATTATATAAGCTTTATTGAAACCTAATGTTATTTTGTACATTTCAAAACTTATTATTAACTTACTTAGGGTTACCAACTAGAAATTTTAAAATGTCCGGAGATCGTTCGAATGGTCTGGAGTCATTCATTTAATAAATATATAAATGTACCTACAAAAAAAAGCCTATTCGTTTTGGGTAGTTAAAAAATAATCAACTATTAGATTAATTAATTAATTTATTTGAATATTTTAAATAGTACAAACTCAAGTATTCAAAATAATAGTAGTATAGTAACTACATCGTGGGTGACATTTAATAAGAGCACTGCCAATAAAGGAACAATAAAAAATCACAAAAACTGGAGAGTTGGTAATCCTAAAAGCAGCCTACATTTCTAACTAAGTATTCACAAACAGTAATTTAATATCTATCTTCGCCCTTCTTAACTGTTTTTGTAATTGTTTTTGTTCCTAACTAGCCCTTTATGATTGAGAAAATGTCCTTTAGTCGGGACGATCAAAATTGGCAAAGTCCGCAATAAATTATCTGTAAGAATGGACGTATGTATCTTCTTCATTGTTTCCACTTAGGAATGCAGTCATTTGATATATTTTGAACATGCCCTTGTTAAGTTAGCAAATGCTTAATGAGTGGTACAGACAAAGTGAAAAGAGATAACCGAATAATAATAAGCGGTGCAGCGGTTAGAGGTTGCTTGTGTCCGCTGCAATTCCTATCTAGCATCCCTTTTCATTGATTACGATATTCCCTACAACGTCTGCAGTGTGTAAAAGAACGCGTTCTATTAGCAACCGCTCTACTCTAGTTAGTAAGTTGAAAGAAGAAAGTAAATGTGACAGTTTTATTGCAGACTATGCCAATTTTGAACGTCCCAACTATACCAACCGGTCCTGCATATTTCTTTCTATATTCTTTCTAATACTTTCTCAATTCTACCCTTTTCTATATACGACATTTTCAACATCCTCCTATAACACCACATCTCAAGGTCGAAACAAATCGTCAAGTTTTTAAAATTTGTCGAAACATTTTCCGTTTTCTTACTTTTGCAAAGGCTAAGTATTCAAAACTGTGCTACCTTCACGAAGCGTTGCTAAACTTGGAAAACAATTTGAAATGACCAGAGTTGCTAAAATAATGCAATTTAATCAACAAATTGATGACGTTAATGACAAATCAGCGTATGTAAGACTTTTTACTTTATTGTTTCAATGATTTTCGTTGATGACGTAAATTTAATTGGAGATTAATGAGATGAGGCACATTAAAATGCAGAACGCAAAGTAGATACATAAATATGATATATCAACGTTGTATATTATGCTCTTCGTGACGATACGATTAAAAAAGAAAGGGGATAATTTTCATTACCAATCGTCGTAGAAATTCGTACAGTTACCTTGACGACAATCGTGCGACGAGTTATTCGTTGTTCGTGTGTATCTACGTAGTGGGTGCGCATACCACGAAAGAATTGTTGGCAAACAGTTTTGTGCGTGTACGTATTCGTACGTAATAAATTTTCAAACTGGCGCCAACAGTCACCAATACTTTGTTATATTTCTGGAATTATTAAGGCGTCCAGTTTGTCCAGGATCGGCATGTTTACATTCTTTTGGTGTCGTCGTTTTCGAAAATGCACTTAACAATTTTTAATAATACTCGAGGCAACTTGCACGTATTTGTACTTTTTCCAATTTATTTACTATAACTGCGATCTTCTTTTATTTGCAGAAAATGAAAACCGACGACAGGAGCAACGTGCCAAAAGTTCGGATTGCTATAATTGGGATGTCAAATGTTGGCAAGTCCGGTAAGTGTGCCGTGCTAAATCGCTTACGATTGTTATTGTTATTATTAACATCAATTGCTGGTCAGTTTGGGCTATTAAGTTTTATCGGCACTAGGGTTCTGTAGCCAAATAGTAAAAACCAAAATCTTGTTACGCACTTTCGTGATGTTTAGGGACACACTCTCGTAGTACCTAATTTTTTTTGTGAACCCTTAGGACAATTTTTTTGCACTATTTATTTAACAATTTTTTAAGATACCCACAGTGGAACTTGGTTGTAACCACATCGGTTATAACGACAGCTCTCATGTAATGCCGTTTTTTTAGTTGTTGCAAAATGTGTTCCCGAAACTGTTTAGTTTGTGTCTCGTATCTGCAAATTTTCGTTTATAACGATAATCGGTTATTACGTCAAAAACAGAGTGACGCTGTAGCCAAGAAAATCAATGGCGAGCGAAACTTAATTCTTCTCTCATTTAGGACTTTCGGTTGACACGCTTCTTCTCTTGAACGACTTTACTTATATAGTTCAAATTTGGCACAATGTTTATGCACAGTCAGGAGCAGATTTGTAAAAAATAGTTTTTAAAATCAAACAAACCATGAAGGAATAAACACCAGAAAAAGTTTTGGTAAATGTCTAGATGATGGCCCTCACCCCCAAAGGGGGTGGGTTGGATCGAAAGAGGAGGTTTCCCCCACCACTGTACCATAAAAAGTTCATGGCGGTCTCACCCCCATAAAAAGTTATGGGGGTTAGGTGAGGGTGGGGATAGGGGGGATCGAAGTCACCTAAGTTAAACCCTATAAAAAAATTGCGGTGGTCTCACCCCCATAAAAAGTTATGGGGGTTGAAAGTTGATTATTTTGACAATTTTCATACACTATAATTCAAATAAAATTCAATAAAAAAAATATTTTCAAGCGGGTGGAGGTGGGGGATCGAAAGAGGGTGGTCACTTGAACAAAACCCGATAACCTAACCTAACCTATTGATAAAGATATTTAAATAATGTTTTATATAACTTTCTCAATATTTTTATGTATTTTTCCATTAGTTTTACCTTTGAATATTGTTTAAGAATGACTATATAAATATTTACATGCTTAGAAATGTATAAAAATTGGTATATTTATTAACTTTAAACCCCTATAACTTTTTATGGGGGTGAGACCGCCACGAAATTTTTATGGCACAGTGGTGGGGGAGACCATACAGACCTTTGCCAAAATTTTCGAATTTGGCGCTAAAATGACCATCTTAAGACTGTCTATAGCCCAAAAAAATAAAATCACAATTCAGACATACCTACCATCGAGGAATAATCGGCAAAAATTATTTGATATTACCGGTCCGACGATTCGGTACGTGTTATGGTAGATACTGCTTCGCCCAATTCGCGATTAAGTGAGAATGTGAAAAAAAATATTTGCCGCCCTTTACCATGACACCTTGTAAGTCATTAGCGTGCTATTCCAGAGATATGGGATGGTGGAATTTTTAAGTAGGACTCTTCAGAAAACTGTGTTAAACTAATGAAAAAGTCATATCCAAAATTTTACTTATTGTACATTGAACAATAGAATCAACTTGGGAATCCCCTAAAACGTAGTGTTGTAGGATAATAGGGTACTCCTCAAAAAATATTATACTACCTACATACAAACTATCGGGAATGATCTTTACAATTTTCCGCATCGAATTCACGAAATAGCTTTTTCTCTGGTAGTGAATAATTCGTGACGAATATTCTTCGGCGCGAATTTTAAAGCAGGGGCAGGAACTGTTACCAACCTTAACATAACAGATGAAAAAGTCCGGAAATGCCTTGACCAACTACAAAAAGTAAGCCGGATAAATGGACGGATCCGATCATATCCGATCGGAAGTAACTGCTACTGTCAATGTGGGAAGGAAACAAACAAAATCAAAGGATTACCAGTTGAGAAATGTGAAATGTATTCTCAACTTAAAAGTTGTCAAAAATCTTCATATTTCGGGTGCTCAAAACAGTTGGTTCCTTTTTTCCTGTTTTTCTTACTGCTTGGATTGACTTGGCATCATTGTTCAATTTAAACGCTTCATTTTCAAAATGTTAAGCTTCGAAATTATTTAGAATGTGGTCTTCGCCTTTGCCGTTTGCAATCAAAACCTGCCGAAAAACTGAAAAATCTTGTATCTATCCTCACAAGTACGTAGAAGTATTAATCTCGAATTTAAGAAATTTCTAGAATTTGAAAATTGCTCTTTCACTCACACCATAATGTGGAGTATGCTCTTTCAAAAAGAAATGTTGCTACAATTATCACTTATAATTTAAAGGCTCTGTTTCCAAAAAATTGAGCTTCGATGTTGTAGTCAGTACATCGCTCAACTAATTGGTTATGTAACCCTATTTCGCATGCTTCTGGCCGCTTTGCATTTTTTCTTAATATTTCAATTTCATTTGTTCTTTTTCTTTTATTTCAGCTCTTACCGTCCGATACTTAACGAGACGCTACATTGGAGAATACAGAAGTAACACTGGTAAGTTGAAAGGCACTTTCAATTCTGCTAAAAAGAAAAACGTAATTTTTAAGGTTTCGAAGCAATTAAACAAAACGAAACCGTCACAGTAACCATTTACACCCATCAGTACCCGTCTATTATACCCTTGTAGTTTCTTTAGTCTCTAGACTTATGTTCTATGCCTCAGATTGATTTTTTTCAAGTGCTTCCTTTTCTTATTTTCTCAGAAAAGAGGGTAGGTACTATTAGAAAGCAAATAGAAAATGGATTTAAGGTTTCATTGTTAAAGAAATGCAAAATGTTCTCTGAACAGTCTATGGATGCATTGTTTGTGACAAATGATCCTTTATCAATATAAAAGGATACATGTCAAACCCTAGTTCTACACTGGTATAATCAAATATTTTACAACTTAATTGACGTTTTAAGACTTTTCATGAATCGTGGAATTAAATCTCAGTGCAATAAAGAACATTGGTATGCTAACAGTAGATAAAACATATGCTCTAATTACTGTAAGGTAATTCATTAACGGCTTTATTCGTTAATTTTACTAGTTCTTCCCCCCTATCAGTTACTGTGAGCTCGAAACTGTTAGCACCACTGCTTCGAGTGGTCTGAACAATTTGTTTAATCACTTTATTAAATTAAATTACAAATTATTTGAAAAATTAAATTTAAACCAATTTGTTTGTAAATAGGTATGCAACACATCGTACACTTCAGCGTAAGAAATTGCTGAAACTAATTTTCATTTACGTAATACTACACTTTGCCCTGTTCAGACAGCACTCATAGTTTCTTTTATTTATATATAATATTCCAAGTATTTACAATTTCGCAGATGTCTACCTTGTTTGATTCTACCTGTTGATACATTACGTTATGCCACTAGATTTGGCGCCACAATTCTTCAACAGACTTTCAATAAGCAGATTTAAGTTTTTTTTATATCTGCGAAGTGGAAAGGACGTAACATAAAAATAAATTTAATAAAACTGACACGACAGTACACCCACTGTTCAAATTTATCGATAGATACGTATATTTTCGCCAAAAACACACAGACGTCGTTTCTGTAAAGTTTTGCGATACAAAATTGATTTTATAATAGTTATAGACGTTTCAAACGGTTTTATAACGGCTATAATTTGTAAAATTATTTAAAATCGTGCGGAAGAAACAATGAAGGTAGTTAATTGACCTTTCTGTAAGAAAAGTTGTTAATTTAAAATTTGTGCTGTGCAGCTGCAGTACATAGATAGACTATATAGAAATAATTAATAAAAAGTCACCCCATTTTAGAATTGATAACAATATATTAAACTTGTTAAACATTGAATATGCTGGAAAAATTTGTTTTCAACGCTGATTGATAAAACAACTAACTAATGTTAAGATGGATTACTAATAACAAAGTTAATACATATACCATTTTAATGACCAATAATTACTGAAGATCAGCCTGAAGACATGTACGAGTATAGCTACTTTCTGTTAAGTAAAAAAATGTTTATTTAGTTGTCTAAAATTAAAAGTATCCACTGCCGAATATCTACTAGTTTATATCGTATTTGATATTAACTTGTGTTAACGAAAGTTGTATTATGACATCTACTTTACGAGTAATTTTAAAACGATTATACAATGTTGAAAATTCTAGGACGCCACTGCATTCTATGAATAGCCTTCGGAATGTTTTCGCACCTTTTTTTCTATTTTTAAAAACGACTGACGATGATTTACTGCAGTCCGACAGAAATTAAAGAAATCAAACTTTACCTTTTATCTGAAAAAACTGGATGATCATCAAAGAAATTTGTTATATGACATATATACGATGAATTTATCGTATATTACGTTATAGTAATATAGAAAATTATAGATACAAACGTTTGTATTTCGGTAAATATTCTACATTATATTTTCTATATTGCGTTTCTTGTGAATAAAATTAAAATAAACTGAAATTCGAAAAAGAAAATGTTCGGAGAGCGGCGCTGTACGGGTGCGAAACATGGACAGTGGGCGCGGCGGAAAAGAAAATTTAAAAGCGTTCGAAATGTGGCGTTACAGGCGAATAATGAGGATACCGTGGATAGAGAAGGTTAGAAATGAAGAGATATTAGAAAGAATAAGAGAACAGAAGACTCTGGAAGTCAATAAAAAATTTGCGAGATAGGTTAGGAGGACATCTTCTCAGGCATGAAAGTCTAGTCAGAGACATATTAGAGGCAGAAACAGGAGTTCAGAGGAGTAGAGGTAGACCTAGATTAGATTACTGTTCACAAATAGTTAAGGATGTGGGTTGTTCTAGTTTTAGGGAAATGTGAAGATTGACTTAGGATAGGAAAAAGTGGAGGTGGGTGTCCAACCAGTCTTAGGACTGACGATCTTACGATGATGATGAAGTTGAATGAAAATGTTCAAGAATGCTAAAAAGACTACGTTCTTCTAGGCAGGGGTCGTCAATTAATCTTAGGAAGAGTCCGGATTTTTTTGAAAATCTTTGTCGACGTAAAAAAAAACAGATTTCCTATTCCAGAAAATGATAAAGGTGGCACCCTAAGTTCTACCATAATTTGTTATCAATCATCATAATTAATTAAATAATTTTTCGTGATTCAGTTTTTGACCTTCTGCGGTCTGAACCTGGACCACAGTCCGCCAGTTCCCGACCATTGTTTTAGGAGATTCTAATGATAAAATCATGATAGAGTATGAGTAGACCATGTAGGGGGGGGGGGTCAGAAAGAGGATAATAAGGTGGAACATCTCTCAGTGACTTTGTATATATTACATTCGCGAACATGGTAGTAAAACTTGAAGAAGTGCAAAAAAATCTAATTTTGTTACAGAAAAGTAAAGTTTGATTTTGTTTATTATTATGCAGATGAGTATTATCGATTAATTTTATACTTTCATTACGTCTATTTATCAAACGATTGATTGTTATAATTTTATCAGCATGAATATTTTTAAAAAAAGTTTGGAAATCAGCGCAAATTCCACATTAATCTTTACATTTTGGACTCTTGGCAAAAACGTTCTGCTGCAAGTTTTCAAATGTCGTAGGTACGAAAATGTCTGCGGTGAGCATACATATATGCGTTGCCAGTTCATTAATAAATAATATTGATACGTTGAACGCCAAAATTTGCAACGGTACAAATAACAGAACCGCCGCAAAGTGTTCGTAGGATTATGAGATAATCCTAACAATTTAAAAATACGCACATATAGAGTTATAGAGAACCGTCTGACGAATCGGTATGAAATGTTGAATTATGCTAAGAGTTAAATTTAAATTTTACAATTTTTAAATTAATGTTCTAAAATCATATTATTCCAAATAAAATTTATTAATATTATTATTTCTGTTATTTGCAGTTTTAGTTTTGTTATTGGTTTACTGAGTTTATTTACAAAACTATACTGGCGTCTAAATAATTTGCCAGCTAATCATAATTTTCTTTTTAGCGAAATTTTTGTTTCGATTTAAAGAACTAACCTTGAGATATAAAAACTGCTAGGATACATGTAGATTTTGTGTACATTGTACAGATTGGGTCTGTAATTATGAAACACTGACATTTCATAGGGGTTAATATCAAATATTAATGTGAAAATTAATTTTTAATTTTCATCCCACTGCAAACTACCTCAAGTTAATGAGGGAAAAATTTGTTGCTGTTGTCACACCCTTGCCGGGAATAGAACCCGGGACCTTCGGCTTTACGCACCAATGCTACGGGTTCGATTCCAGGCAAGGGTGTGACAACAGCAACAAATTTTTCCCTCATTAACTTGGGGTAGTTTGTAGTGGGATTGAAAATTAAAAATGAATTTTCACATTAATATAGGGTCAATATCGTGGAATCGGTAGGTATATGTATTATTAGGATACGATAGGGGAAAGAAAAAACTGTTCAAAAAGATTATTGTACGAGGGTGGATTGATAAGTTTCCGGCCTAACCAAGAGATGACGCCACTAGGCCTACCTTGAGGTGACATTCTATAGTACCATCCTTGGATAGCTTGTAGCTATAGTTTCAGCCCGATCTCCTTGCTAGTGTAGGTTTGACAGCACGCTGAACAAGACGCCTCTGTGGTTTTCGTAAAAATGGAAAAGCAGGAAAATCGTGCTGTCATCAAATACTTTTATTTGAAGGGGTTAACGCCGAAGGAAATTAAAAAAGAGATGGACTCAACACTGGGGACATCCTCCCCGTCATATTCAACCGTTAAGCAGTGGGTTTCCGAGTTTAAAAAGGGTCGTGTGAGCACCTCTGATGGGCCTCGCTCAGGACGCCCCGTTGAGGTCACAACTCCAGATATGATCGAAAAAATTCATCAAATAGTGCTGGGAGACCGCAGATTGAAAGTGCGTGAGATAGCTGAGACCTGTAAGATGTCATATGAACGTGTGCAACATATTTTGCACCAACATTTGCATATGGAAAAGCTCTGTGCAAGATGGGTGCCGCGTTTGCTAACAGTCGACCAAAAATTGATTCGAAAAAACATTTCTACCGCAAATTTGTCATTGTATAAGCGTAATCCAAGCGAATTTTTGCGTCGATTCGTAACCGTTGACGAAACGTGGGTCCACCACTACACTCCTGAAACCAAAGAACAGTCTAAACAGTGGATTGGACCAGGGGAACCAACTCCAAAGAAGGCAAAAACAATTTTTTCGGCGAACAAGGTTATGGCTACTGTTTTTTGGGATGCAAGAGGTATTATATACATTGATTACCTTGCAAAGGGTAATACTATCACTGGTCAATACTACGCAGACTTATTGCAACGTTTGAGCCACGAGGTGAAAATTAAACGACCTCATCTGGCGAAGAAAAAAATCTTGTTTCATCACGATAACGCACCAGCGCACACGTCAATCGTTGCGACGGCTAAAATCAACGATCTAAAGTTTGAATTGATGCCGCACCCTCCTTACTCTCCAGACCTAGCCCCGAGTGACTATTTTCTGTTCCCTAATCTCAAAAAATGGCTT